CCTGGGCTGAGTCATTCCCTCATACACTGGAGGACATCTTTCCCACATAGACATTTGCCTTGCCTGGGGGGAAGACAGTCAACACACCCTATTGGAAAACACCTTACCCTCAGGCCACTTAAGAGATTAAAAATAACAATTAGCCTCCAGGCAGAAGCAACTGCCCTACCCTGCTGGAAAGAAACCCCCAAAACCTCTCACCACACCTGAGGACAATTGCCTGAAGGGCAATTCAAGGCAGAGGCTGTCTCTGGAGGCTTTGAGTCTTTGCCTGATCTAATTAGTCAGAAACAGCCTTTAACACTGTCCTGATTGAGAGGTGTAGAGCAGAGGTCCTCAAACTTTTTAAACAGGGGGCCAGTTCACTGTCCCTCAGACATTCCACACATGTGCATTGTGGACCTGGGACAAGTCGGCTGCTAAGCAGGACAAGGCAGCAGCAGCAAAAACACCCGGCGGGCCGGATAAATGTTTTCAGCGGGCCGCATGTGGCCCACGGGCCGTAGTTTGAGGACCCCTGGTGTAGAGGATCTACCTAATACATAGTCACAAACCCGAACAGGAAGCCAAAATGAGGAGACAAAGAAACAACCCCCAAATGAAAGAACTAGAGAATTCTCCAGAAGAAGAGACAAATGAAGCAGAGATAAGAAATTTATCGGAATCAGAGTTCAGAGTAATGATGGTAAAAATGCTCAACAGAATGAAAAAAGATATAGTAACTATGAAAAAAGAATAAGGAATGACATAACACAATAAAGAACACATTGGAAGGAATACACAGCAGATTAGGGGAAGCTGAGGATCGAATTAGTGAATTAGAAGACAGAGTTGAAAATGTAACTCAATCAGAGAACCAAAAGGAAAAAACAATTAAAAAACAGGAGGACAGCTTAAGGGAGCTGTGAGACAATATGAAGCATAACAATATTAGAATAGCAATTGTGCCAGAAGAGGCAGAAAGGGAGAAAGGCATAGAAAAGGTGTTTGAAGAAATAATGGCAGAACACTTCCCTAACCTGGTAAAGGAAAAAGTCACACAAGTTCAGGAGGCACAGAGGCACAGAGAACCCCAAACAAGAAGAACCCAAATAGGCCTACACCCAGATACATCATAATTAAAATGCCAAAAGTTAAAGACAAAGAATCTTAAAGGCAGCAAAAGAAAAGAAAGCTGTTACCTACAAAGGAGTTCTCATAAGGCTGACACTTGATTTTTCATCAGACACTCTATAGGCCAGAAGGGAATGGCATGAAGTACTCAAGGTAATAGAAAGCAAAGATCTGAGACCAAGATCACTATATCCAGCAAGGCTATCATTCAAAATAGACGGTCAAATAAAGAGCTTCCCAGACAAAAAAAAAAAAAAAAGGCGAAAGGAGTTCATAACCACCAAGCCAGCATTACAAGAAAGAAACAGAGAGAGAAACCTAGCCATCCAGAATTAAAATGGCAATAAATAAGTACCTATCAATAATAACCCTAAATGTCAATGGATTCAATGCTCCAATCAAAAGGTGTAGGGTAGCTGGATGGATATGAAAAAAACATGACCCAACTGTATGCTGTCTACAAGAGACCCACCTCAGAACGAAAGACACACGCAGGATGAGAGTGAGGAGATGGAAAACAATTTCCATGCAAATGGGAAAGAAAACCAACTGGAGTAGCAATGCTCATATCCGACGATATAGACTTTAAAGTGAGGGCCATCACAAGGACAACAATGGTCACTACATAATACTGAAGGAACTGGTCCAACAAGAGGACATAACCCTAGTAAACACACACGCACCCAATATAGGAGCACCTAAATATATAAAAAAACTTCTAGAGGAATATAATGGCGAGATTGACAACAATACAGTCTTAGTGGGGGACTTTAACACCCCTCTGACTTCACTGAATAGATCTTCCAGACAAAACCTTAAGGAAACAGAGACTCTAAAGGACACACTAGATCGGATGGATTTAACTGGCATTTATAGAATATTTCACCCAAATGCAGCAGAAGATACGTTCTTCTCAAGGGCACATGGATCATTCACAAAGACAGACCACATGTTAGGACACAAAACAAGTCTCTACAAGTTCAAGAAGATTGAAATCATATCAAGCATCTTCTCAGATCAGAGTGGAAAGAAAACAGGAGTCAACTACAGTACAAACACCCCAAAGCATTCAAACACATGGAGGCTAAATTGCATGTTATTAAACAACTAGAGGCCTGGTGCATGAAATTCATGCATGGTTAGGGTCCCCAGGCCTGGCTGGCAATCAGGGCTGATCTGTGGGGTGACCGGCGGGGTGACTGGGCACCCTGCTCGCACCTGCCTTGGCCGGCCTGGCACTGCCCGCTGGCCAGCACTGTCCCCCGCCGCTGCAGCCGGTCGCCTCCCTCTGTGCTGTGATCAGCAGGGCCATCGGGGGCTTCCCACTCGCACCTGCCTTGGTTGGCCTGGGGCCAGCGGGCTGGGGGCAGCTCCTGAATTGAGCATCTGCCCCCTGGTGGTCAGTGCATGTCATAGTAACCGGTCATTCTGCCAGTTGTTCTGCCATTCGGTTGATTTGCATATTAGATTTTTATTATATAGGATGAATGGGTTACCAACGAGATCAAGAAAGAAATCGAAAACTTCCTGGAAACAAATGAAAATGAACACACAACAACCCAAAACCTCTGGGACACAACAAAAGCAGTCCTGAGAGAGAAGTTCATAGCACAACAGGCCTATCTCAAGAAAAACAAGAAAAATCAGCAGTAAACTATTTAACACTACAACTTAAAGAACTAGAAAGAGAACAAGAAAAGCCCAAAGTAGAAAGAAAGATATACTAAAGATTAGAGCAGAAATAAATAACATAGAGACTAAAAAAAAAAAAAAAAAAAAAAAAAAGAATACAAAAAATCAATGAAACCAAGAGCTGGGTAAAGGATAAACAAAATTGATAAAACATTAGCCAGATTCATCAACAAACAAAGAGAGAGGACCCGAATAAATAAAATCAGAAACGAACATGAAGGAGTAATCACTGACACCACAGGAATACAAGGGATAGTAAGAAAATACTATGAACAACTATATGTCAACAAGCTGGACAGTGTAGATGAAATAGACAAATTTCTAGAAAAATACAATCTCCCAAAACTGAATCAGGAAGAATAAAAAAACCCCGAATAGGCCAATAACAACTGATTAAATAGAAGCAGTAATCAAAAAACTCCTAGCAAACAATAGCCCAGGTCCAATCGGCTTCACAGGGGAGTTTTACCAAACATTCAAAGAACTAACTCATATACTCCTCAAACTATTTCAGAAAATCCAAGAGGAAGGAACACTTCCAAACTCTTTTTATGAGGCCAGCATTATCCTAATTCCAAAACCAGATAAAGACACTACAAAGAAAGAGAAGTACAGGCCAATATCCCTGATGAACACAGATTCTAAAATCCTCAACAAAATATTAGCAAATCATATCTAGCAATATAATAAAAAGATCATACACCATGATCATGTGGGATTTATTCCAGGGAAGCAAGGCTGGCACAATATACGCAAATCAATAAACGTGATATATCACATAAACAAACTGAATGGCAAAAATCATATAATCATATCAATAGATGCAGAAAAAGCATTCAATAAAATACAACACCTACTTTTTCAAAAAAATTTTGCTTTATTGCTTAAAATATTACAAAGAGTGGTACATATGTCTCCTTCCCGCCCCCCGCCCCCCGACCTTCCACAACACCCATTTTTGATAAAAACTCTCAGCAAAGTGGGAATAGAGGGAGCATATCTCAACACAAAAAAGGCCATATATGACAAACCTACAGCCGACATCATACTCAATGGGCAAAAACTAAAACCATTTCCCTTAAGAACAGGAACAAGACAGGGATGCGCACTTTCATCACTCCTGTTAGACACAGTACTGGAAGTGCTAGCCATAGCGATCAGACAAGAAGAAGAAATAAAAGGCATTCAAATTGGAAAAGAAGAAATAAAACTGTCATTATTCACAGATGACATGATATTGTACATAAAAAAACCCCAAAGACTCCATCAAAAAACTACTAGACTTAATAAATGAATTCGGCAATGTAGCAGGATACAAAATTAATATCCAGAAATCTATGGCTTTTTTTATACACCAATAATGAACTCACAGAAAGAGAAACTAAAAAAACAATCCCATTTATCATTGCAACAAAAAATTAAGATCTCTAGGAATAAACTTAACTAAGGAGGTAAAAGACCTGTACTCAGAAAACTACAGGATGTTGAAAAACGAGATAGAGGAAGACATAAACAAATGGAAGAATATACCATGTTCATAGTTTGGTAGGATCAACATCATTAAAGTGTCCATAGTACCCACAGCAATCTATAGATTCAATGCACTCCCCATTATGATACCAACAGAATATTTCACAGACCTAGAACAAACTCTCCAAAAATTCATATGGAACTAAAAAAAGACCCTGAATAACCAATCCTGAGAAAGAAGAACAAAGTTTGAGGTATTACAATACCAGATATCAAGCTATATTACAAAGACACTGTTCTTTGCAGAACAATTTACAATAGTTAAGATTTGGAAACAGCCTAAGTGCCCATCAGCAGGTGAGTGGATTAAAAAACTGTCATATATCTATACAATGGAATACTATGCTGCTGCTAAAAAGAAGGAACTCTTACCATTTGCAACAGCATGGATGGACCTGGAGAGCATTATACTAAGTGAAATAAGCCAGTCAGAGAAAGACAAGTATCACACGATATCATTCATTTGTGGAATATAATGAACAACATAAACTGATGAATAGAGCCAGAGGAAAAAAATATTTTAGAATATAAGTAATCCTGTTATTTGCAGATTTTTAATATTTCCTACAACTTTTGTGATATTATACTATGTTAGTACAATTTTGGTAATATTATTATATTTAAAATATTTTTTTCCTAAAATATGTTTATTGCATTAAAAAAAAAAAAAAAAAAGGAAGTCCTTCAGCTCATATAGAAACCTAACCTCTGGTCGAAAATGTAGTGCTAAGGGTGAACCACGGGCTTATGGACCCTAAGGCTGAGATTAAGTAAGTACATCAGCCCTGAGGGCTTCTACATTCACAGATACCAGGGGAACTACTAGTCCACGCTGCTTAATAATCTTAACTAACCTACTACTTCTCTACTTGTGGGTTTGCAGTGGTTCTCAACCTTCCTAATGCCGCGATCCTTTAATACAGTTCCTCATGTTGTGGTGACCCCCAACCATAAAATTATTTTCGTTGCTACTTCATAACTGTAATTTTGCTACTGTTATGAATCATAATGTAAATATCTGATATGCAGGATGTATTTTCATTGTTCTCGACCCACAGGTTGAGAACGCTGGTTTAGTTGGTAGTGGAAGGAATTTGTGAGCCCTTCAGCGACACTGTAAAACTCGACCACGCTTCTAATTTGGACGTTAATACTCAAAATAATGTTAGAAACATTGATCTCTTCTTGCATAGGTTATTCCCTATTGGTTTTGTCTAGAGCTATGGATTTAAATGTACAGCATCATGTTTTAAGTTAGGGAACCTGAATCTAACCTTTGACTATAATGGGAAAAAAAAGTGCTCCCTAAACCAAAGTGACAGCTACTGAATGGCTGAAACAGCTTGTGCTTGGAGGAAGAAAAATAATATGTATTCATCTCATGGGAATGGAATTAGTCATAAAATCCCCAGCTAGGACACACTCATCATGTGCTTTGCTGTCATTACCAAAGAACTAGCAAAAATCTCTACATGTCCCTTTGAATAGAAAACATATTATTTGCTTCATTTCCTTTAGCTTATAAACACATTATTTACATCTTTCTTTTAAAAACTGTATCCCTCTTTTTTGATGACACAAGGAAAGCATGGGTACAAATGAACCTCTCTTAACCTTAGTATAATTTAAAATATCGTTGACCAGAAATGATGCTGGTGGAATGCCCAGTGATGTTTGTGGTATAGCCGTTATGAAATGAAGCTAATTTCCATGACCTCTTACCTGGTTCCCATTACTACGCCATTAAATATCGCTGGGGATTTAGTGTGGAGACGGTCCAGCAGCTCGGCACTCAGATGTGGCCACTGAGTGACTCATACAGAACATCTTTGTTTTCATTTAATTCCTATCAGTAGCTCATACTTCATTAGTCCCATGATGGACTAAGTCCTTGGTGGTGTGTCTAAGATCAAATCACAGCAAGGACGGAGCCACTGGACTCCAGGCGGGCAGAGGGAGCGGCCAGTTCCAGAGCGCTTTCTGTCCAGAAAATGCCACAAACCCATTTTGTGAAAACCGTCACTTTCCTGCTGAAATCAGTTTCAGGATTTCTACTGTACTCCCAGTTGTCGGCAACCAGCTAGCGCTTTTGTTGATAAATGAGATATTGGAGAAGAGTTCCTCCCACAAAGGCTCCACATTTTGTAACCTCATGCTCCCTGGAGAGCCCGGTTCTGTGCTTATGGAGCCACTGAACAGAGCAACCACCCACCTAAAAAGACTGGGGCAGATTTTACAAACCTGCATTGGGTATCCATGTGGAATAATTATTCTGTTCCTGAAATTCTGAACTCCAAGCCCCAGATGAAGGCTTCTCTACCTTCTGGCACCTACCTGTTTACTTAAGCTCATCTTCCACACCTGTTCCTACTACACAGCCCTGTTCACTCCAGCCAGCAGGTGCAGTCTCTCCCATGTCTTTATTCAAAATCCTCTCTCTTTGCATAGTGTTCAACTTTTCTTACCTTCATTTCATGTCTAGTTAAGTCTCCATATAAGATTTTTCCTAATTGTTGCGGCTTCTCACTTCTCTTTTCTGATCTCTATTTGTATTTATAGGGGGATATAAATTATGGGAATATATTTTAAGAATTAAGAACATGATATAACTAGTCTGACAAAATATTGCTTCATATGTATGCACTTGTCCCTTACAGCTTCGGATCCCCAGGAAACAGAAGGAGTTCAGTGTGCATCTGTGGCAGTAACAACGAGGACTTTCGCGATGTGAGGACTCAGACTTGCATTTGCCCAGGAGGCTGAAATAGAGCAAGATGGTAATCTAAGCTTCTACCTTAGAAAACCAGAAAAGATGAGCAAATTAAATCCAAATTAAACAGAAGAAAATAAATAATAAAAACTAAAGAAGAAATCAATAAAATTTAAAACAGGAAATCAACAGAGAAAAATCACTAAAAGTTGGTTCTTGGAAAAGATCCATAAAACTGAGGAGCCTCTAGCCAGGTCAACTAAGAAATAAAGAGACAGAACAAAAATTACTAATATCAGAAATGAAAGGGGGGACATCACTACAGATCCCATGGAAATCAAAGGATAATAAAAGAATGTTATGAAAACTCTATGCCCACAATTCTGACAACCTAGATCAGTGGTCGGCAAACTGTGGCTCGCGAGCCACATGCGGCTCTTTGGCCCCTTGAGTGTGGCTCTTCCACAAAATACCGACTTCTGCGCATGGGCCACGAAGTTTCAATTGCACTGTATGTGCGCGCCCGCACGTGGTATTTTGTGGAAGAACCACACTCAAGGGGCCAAAGAGCCGCATGTGGCTCGCGAGCCACAGTTTGCCGACCACTGACCTAGGTGAAATGGATTGATTCCTTTAAAGACACCTGCAAAAGAAGAAAGAGACTATCTTGAACAGGCCTATATCTATTAACAAAATTGAATCAATAATCAATAAACTTCAAAACAGAAAGCACTAGGCTCTGATGAGTGAATTCTGCCGAAACTGGTGAATTCTACCAAACATTTAAGAAATTATACCAATTCTCTACAATCTCCTTCAGAAGACAGAAGCTCATTCGATGAGGCCAGCCTTATGCTAATATTCAAACCTGATGGACACTACAGGAAACTACACAACGTCTCTCATGGAAATAGATGCAAACATCCCCAAACAAGTATTAGCAAATAAGACCAAGCAGCTGTTCACACCTCAATGCTGCAAAGCACACCCATCAGTAAACAGGGAACTTCACTGACTGCATCAGACCATACACAGAACTTGGCTCCCTAATTTACTTCCTCTTGGTGGGGAGAAAAGGGACCTTATAAACTAGGGGTTCACAACATAAGGATTTATATTTAATTGCACCCTAGTGCATTCCCTTAGAAGCAAATCAACCTCTAAGGTTAATGAAAGGTTACATAGTAAATTAAGTGTTGACCTTAAGTGATACCTGTCCTCCTGCTACTAATATACCAACGGCAGCACAACCAACATCTCAATTTCCATTCCATCCGCCTTCTGTTTGGTAGCTGGAAAGCTACAAACTATATTTCCCAAACTCCCTGGCAGCTAAGGGTCTTGCTACAAATCAGGCTCCACCAATAGATGGCTTCGTGTAAAATTGGAAGAGAGAGGCAAGACAAGGCCATCTTCTTAGGCTGTGGCTGCTGGCCAGTGAGGCGGAGGCCTGTGCTTGCAGTGGCTGGACTCGGCCTTCCCTGACTCGTCTTCAGGTCTGTGGCTGTGAGAGACAGGTGAGTCAGCACTTGTGGCTGCAGTGGCACCAAGACCGCAGCCTGAACCTGGATCAAAGGACAGTGATTGGCGTGAGATCAGGGTCCCTGTGGCACCCCTGCCCTTCTCTGGTCTCCCCTGTAGGAAACCCCTTTCTTATTGAAATCCCTCGAGGGTCTGTTTTCTGTCCTGAGCTCTGCTGATTTAGTCCTTTATTCAGGTCATCTCATCCAGTGCTTAGTGTGAAATGCTTGCCTTCCTTCCTTCCTTCCTTCCTTCCTTCCTTCCTTCCTTTTCTTTCTTTCTTTCTTTCTTTCTTTCTTTCTTTCTTTCTTTCTTTCTTTCTTTCTTTCTTTCTTTCTTTCTTCTTTTTCTAATCCTCACTGAGGATATTTTTTCCACTGATTTTTAGAGAGAATGGAAGGGGGAGGGAGAGACAGAGAGAAACACCAATGGGAGAGAGACACATTGATTGGTTGCCACCAGCATCCCCCAACCAGGGCCGGGGCCGGGGCCGGGAAGCCTGCAACCCAGGTACGTGCCCTTGACCAGAATTTAACCTGGGACTTTTCAGTCTGCAGCCGATGCTCTATCCCAGCCGTGGGCAAACTACGGCCCGGGGGTCGGATTCGGCCCATTTGAAATGAATAAAACTAAAAAAAAAAAAAAAAAAAAAAAAGACCGTACCCTTTTATGTAATGATGTTTACTTTGAATTTATATTAGTTCACACAAACACTCCATCCATGCTTTTGTTCCGGCCCTCCGGTCCAGTTTAAGAACCCATTGTGGCCCTCGAGTCAAAAAGTTTGCCCACCCCTGCTCTATCCACTGAGCCAAACCAGCCAGGGCTGAAATGTCGTTATTTCTATTCTGTAAGCGGGGAAAGTGAGTCTGAAGCTGAGGGTAGAGAGGGTGGGGTGAGCTCTGGGACCCACCTTGTGCTCTAGGGTTTCGTTAAGGCTGAGGGAAGCCTGCAGGACACAGTAACACGCAAATGCAACTTTAAACTTTTGATTTACCTTTGAACTCAAGTTCAAATCAAGCAGAAGTTATGAAAAGCTCAGCTCATTTCTCTTTCTAGTCGCCACTTCCGTCAGCTCATGGACTTTGCACTGCTGGGAACAGGAGTGCTGCTCTTGCAACCTTTCAGCTGAGTCAGAATCAAAGAAGCCAGGTTTCCCCAGGGCGCCATGTCTCAGAAGTTCTCAGCTTCAAGGTTGAGTAAAAAGGTGCTTGATGTCTTCGAGCAACACATTGTTACAGCCTTCGAGAAAGAATAAGCTGCACCTCTGTTCACAGCCAAAGGAAGCGCCTGCACCCCTGACAGTGATAACAGCCGCCAGTCAGCCGACGCCCAGGCCAGAAAGATGACGCCCTGAGAACCCGGCACCGCAGGGCAGGAGGCTAGACTCCACACACCAGCCCAGTGCCAGGCCAGCCACTCTCCTCTGGGGAAGTAAAGGGGTTAAATAGGAATCTGAGTCCCTCAAAGCCTAGCAGCACGAAGCACTGGTGCAGAGACAGGGAAGCAGAGCAGGACCGCGCAATCGCTGCCGCCGCACGGTGCACAGAACACGCTAATTCTGTGTGGCTCACGGAGGGCACGGGAGAAAGGCTGGGTGGCCCGTCTCAGGGCATCCAGCCTGGGCTCACTGTGGGGAAGCCTGAGCTGCGAGAAACACAGCGGATTTATAACCAGCCACACACCAAAACCCAGCGCATCGCACCGATGCCCTTTCAGCTTCACACGCAGACATGGTCTGCTTACTCCTTCCCAACGGTCCCCTTCAGTCCACTCTCCACTTTGTGCACAGCAACCAGGAGGCTCTCTCAGAAAGTACGTTCCTGACCATGTCAGTGCCCAGGGTAACACCCATATTCGTCAGCAGAGGGAAACTGCCCAGCCTCGGCCTCCCAGGGTCCCCCCACTACGCTCCTGCGCCAGCGCTGTGGTCTGGGGCCTCTCCTCCTTCCCCAGCTGACACGGAACTAACGGCTTCAGGTCTCAGTTCCAATGTCATTCCCTCCAGAACACCTCCCTGACCCCTTCTGGGGTCTATTTAGTTGACAGCCCTTCCTAGTGCACCTCACCCTATCTCACTACACAGCCTGGCGGTGGCTGGAACTGGCCACTGTGATTACCTGGTGACTGTCTGCTTTCCTCTTCAAACCTAGGCTCTGGGTCACCACTATCCTCAGTGCCCACCCAGCCTTGCAGGCCATTTACGAACGACCGCTACGGTGTCTGACACTCTTGGTGAAGAAAGCTGAACCTTCTCCGCGGTGCCTGAGTATGTTTGTTCAGTGAATGAATTTAAGGTTTGGTTTTGGCTACACAGTAAATCCTCCCTTAACATGTCAATAGGTTCTGCTACTTGAAGCAAAATGAAGCTAATTGCGCCACAGGCTAATGGATACAAACGAGTTAAGTTCCTAGGCATCCCATCATCGTCATAAGGAAACAACAATGAATAAAATAACATTATTTGAGAACCTGGTGTACACAGAGTTTTCCTGGCAGCTTTAATCTTTGAACTGACAGGTCTGTATATTGAATTTCTTATGATGTGAAATAGGGATATGGAAATACTTTACTTCATTCTAATTAACAAACAGTATGGTCATTCACTTAAAAATGCAAGTATTCTGAACAATGTTTGGGTAGTAGAACACTTTGAGATCTAATAAAAGCTTTGGATGTTTTTTCCCAAGGAAGTGAATGTATTCATAACAGTTTTCAAGAGTCTTGGGCAGTTAGTCCACAAATAAATTACAAGCTCCTAGATATGGTATAAAACAGTCACTTCACATGATCCTGGTCTACTCTTCCAAGCTCACCTGCCATTCTCCAATATCAGTTTAAATTCTAATACAGTGGGGCCTTGACTTACGAGTGTCCCAACGAATGAGTTTTTCGAGATACGAGCCATCTCTTGGCCGATTTTTTGCTTTGAGTTGCGAGCTAAAATTCGGGTTATGAGCCAGCTTGAGATACCCCACTGCTAGTTGGCGCAGCGAACGTCACAGTGAACGCCACATCAGCCCAGCATCACGTGTCCTTGTAATGGTGAAGACTGATTTGACATACGAGTAATTTGAGTTATGAGCTCCGTCACGGAACGAATTAAACTCGTAAGTCAAGGCCCCACTGTATATCAAATTGCATGTGGTTCCCCAGCACGCACACGGTTTCCTCGGCCTGGAGTGCCATTCCCACCCTTACTTAGGCAGAGCCGGTACCTTCCAGGGTCCTCCCTGACTCCACTCTGCGCTGGGAAGTAGGGACCCAGTGGAGGCTCAACCTCCCAGCACTTTTGTCCTGATATGAAAGATCTATTTAGTTTACAGCCCTTCCTAGAGAACATCACATCCTGTGAGTTCCCCCTGGTGTCTGGAACAGTGAATGGCACAAACAGGCCTTCGACACCTGCATGCGATCTTGAACTGAGAAGGACCAACGTTAAGGATGGTAGGAGAGCTAGAGCAAAGAGAATCCACAGATACTATCCCCCAGGTGAGAAGGCAGGCTGCAATGCCAGCAAATAAGCAG